GGGTTGCGACCAATTCGGGGTGCGACCAGAGTCACGGAACGAATTAAGTTCGTAAACCGAGCTACCACCGTATTTTAGTAGTCAAGCCTCACGGGGACTAAGTACACTTCCATTGTTCCCCCTCCCAAATACCAAAAACCTCCCCTCTGACTATTGCTTCCTGGGAATAAGAGTTGACTTTGTATCACTTGATATATAATTATGGGACCACCATCTCCATTGTCTGGACTGTATAAACTGCCTGTGCTAATGTTAATGCTAATGCCAAACAATGGAAACATGGGAGTTCCTGATCAACCAGTTGGGGAAGGTTCCTCACAGAAATTTTGATTGTAGCGGTGCTACTGCGAGACAACCCCTTAATCCTTTTTCCTGTGCCACTTGACAACTGGAACGGTCCCTTCCCCACCTGCTAAGGGCTGGAAAAGCAAGGAGTCATACACCGGGAGGGAATCTCACAAGCCTTCGAGTTTAGCTCCTTGCATATTTCAAGAAACCCTGAGTGACAATCCTTTCCACCACACACAAACACACACGTACCACATACGAACACACACACACACACAAATGTCCTGCTATCAGCTAGAAGAGGAGAGACATTCTTTAGGTTACTATGGGAGTAAAGGATGACGAACACAAACGTATTGAGTGTGGAAGCACTGATTAGAGTCCCTTGCAGCTTCTTTTAAAGCAGCGTTTCTCAACCTTGGCAACTTGAAGATGTGTGGACTTCACCTCCACACATCTTCACACACACCTCCACACATCTTCAAGTTGCCAAGGTGGAGAAACACTGCTTTAAAGTGTTTAAAGAAATAGGATGGACACATAGGATTCCAAGTCTCAGGCAAACCATTCTGGGGGAACTACCTCATTCCTTTTGCAGCAGCCTGTGTTCTTGTTCTGGCCACTGCCAGATGCATTATGTGACCCAAATTGTAAGGCTGCATTTCTCTGGAATGAAACTCCAGTATTAAATGTAGAAGGTTTCAGACTGAGTTTCTGTCTAGTCCATTTAATAGGTTCAGGATGCCAAACCCCTTTGTCTTAGGGAGGCAAAGGACAGAAAATACAAGGAGCTTGACCTGGCTTTCAAAACTTCACCTTCTCATTACAGTTTCCAAAATGGCGCAGCAAATGCCTCTAGGATTGGATCCCCACATGGTGCCCAGGAGCAAAAACACGGCTTTTCCAATGTCTCCTTGGGGACTGAGGTAAGCATGGGAGACATACCTGAGCTTGGCATGAATCTAGCAGTTTTTTATATTCTAAGGCACTATATTTTTATAACTGTAATATGATTTTGGTTAACTGCACTTACTATTTAGTATATTGGATAACGCTGATAATGTGATGATTATCGCAATGTTATATATCATATGTTGTTGCCGCAAGCCTCTTTGGAGGTAATAAACTTATAATAAACAACAAATAAACAATGTAATTGCCAACTCATTCTTGTGCTTTGCCTGATTTTATGTTCAGGGATTCCTTTACGTAAAACACAATGAGCACACTCCCCAAGCATAACCTAAATTTCCAATGGGCCTGACCACACTATGATTTTCTTCCAGTTCTGCTGCTGAACACACCCCTGCTGACACCAAGAGCAAGCCAACACAGTTCCATTTCTAGCTTCTAAAAGCCTCATTACCTTTACAAAACCAAGAGGTTTTTTTCTAGCCACCATACTACCCTAAAGTCTACAGAAAGAGTTTAAGGCTGTCAGTTGGCAGCTGAACACCACAGGCCTATTGAACGATCAATTAAATAACTTACTATATAGAGATAGGAGGGATAAGCTGCCCGGGGATATCGACTGACCCATGGGGGGATGCCAGTTTGCATGTGGATGATGGTCGCTCCCAGGCTGTAGATGTCAGCTTTCGTACTGTGGCCCCGGCAGAGAATCACTTCCGGACTCATGTAAATCTGCAAATGGAATCCAAAAGGAAATTAGCTTCTGCGCCAACCTTACTCCAATCATCTTTAAAGCAAAGCCGTATGTCACAGAGGAAAGGGTTTTTTTAAAAAAATCTGTGCCCTTTTAGCAGATCTCACTCAGAAAATGCAAAATCTGAGATAGGTGGAGCTCAGAAAAACCCAGTATAGTCCACCATAACTGCCAATTTTGATGCAGTGATATATTGCTAGCAACTAACGAAGGGCAAGAAATCATAACACACTTCCCATTTAAGATGTAACAAAGGTTCATATGGACAATAATGAACAAATATATAGGGTCACTTGCTTCTGTCTGGGTCTGAAATATTCTTTAATGGAATTTCAGCAGTTCCCCTTACCATTAGACAATAAGATGCTGGTGTAACTCTATCCCACAAGAATGTTCACCTAATATCAATCTTGATAAACCCTAGATGACACGTCAAAGCAGTTTAACCAAAGTATGGTGGTTATTTTACTAATGCATAATAAATTGAAGGGGACAGAGAAGGAGGAGAAGTTCATGGCAGACATTCTCATTGGCCTATGCTCCATCCCATTCTTCTGTAATTACTATGATACAGATAAGGCAGCAATTAGGCTGTCTTCTCAGGGGGAATCATTACCTCCGTTCCTCGAAGTTCTTTGGGATAATAAATATCTTCCGTCATTTGAACGCTGAGTCCAAAATCCACTAAAACGGCTTTGGTTGACATGAAAACAATGTTGCTTGCTAGAAATTAAGGGAACAAATGAGGATTAGGATGTGGAAGGGACATCTGCACATTCACTTTAACACGGAAAATAACCCACAGGCAGGAATTAAAAGGAAAGCAATCATTTAGCAGGCACACACCAAGCAAAAACATACTTGGGAATTCTTCTTCCAGTGATTCATAATTAGACAGAGAAAGAGCCATTATAGCTGCTTTGCCCCAGTCCCTGCATTTCAACAAGTTTGTAGACCGGTGTTTCTCAACCTTGGGAAATTTAAGATGGGTGGGCTTTAAACTCCAGCAAACCCCCCCACGGTTG